GGGGAAAGCATAGGGAAGGGGGCAAAACATCTTTTGACACTACTAATGACTATACACTGCTAAGCTAACTCCATGTCATGAGTATTATGCTTACAACAACATGTTACATGGAAAAAGACTGATGAAAATAAAAGGATGCTAACAAAGTACAAAGATGAACTTGCGAATATCCCAGCAAATTTAGGATTGCTAGCTCAGAACACCTGAAGAGTGGATAAAGGAGGTAAGAACCTCTTACTAATAAGTGCTTCTAATTGAAATAGTAACGCAAAGGTTTCTGTAGAACAGAGTACTTCACAGCTGAAAACAACTATACAACACACTACAAACCAGAGCTGCCAATTACGCTCTAAAAAGCAAGGTCCCTTTGCTCAGCCTCCAAGGTTGAGACTTTTAACTGCTTTGGAATTTGAGCTTTTAGTACCAATTTAATCAGCTAGTTTAATCCTCCCCAACAGAGCAGACTTTTCTAAGTAGAAGAAAATGCAATGACTGATATTTCTATGTGTAAACTTGCTTTGCTTCCAGTTTCATTAGAGTTGTGCTGGCAGTCCAGTTCTCTATTGTCCTCTTCTTTACTTCTAATAAGATTCTCATTATTTTAGACTCAGTGTTTTCTGGATTTCAGAAAGCTGTCCATAAATGTCTTCAAAATTAAAAGCAATGAAGGCAATTATTGGTAACTGTCTAATAAACCTAAGATAAGGCTCTTCATTTGGGTCAAGGGCAAAGGAATGTTGCCTGTAAATATTTACTCTCATATAAATCATGTATATATTTACATAACAGTATTTTTACAAAGTGAAATGCTGCAGCCTTAGTTACAATCTAGATAGGCATCACTATTCATGTTTCAGTTTGAAAAGAAGGTATCATTCCATGCAAACTTTGCACAGCTTGGCACTGTAAAACTGAGGGGGAAAAAAAAAAAAAGGTGCGTTTAGAACATTTTTTTAATCCTCCTCAGTTTGCACAGGAATGCACTTACATGATAGCAAAGGTGGGAAGGAGATGATGTTATACAAGTTGCAGTTGTTATAAAATAAAGAGTTAGAGTAAGAAGAATTGTTAAGAATAATTACTAAATATTAATAAAGAGGAAAACAATTGTAGTTAGCATGATTATGATGTTTAATCTGACCTTTTTCCTACCTTCCTATGAGTTAAAAGCAACTTTTTTGTGCATCAGTATTTCTTAGATAAAAACACCACATAAAGATTTGTAAAAGAGTCTGGAAAGACATGCATAAGAGAGGAACCCTGACTTAGAAAAATATAAAATGAGTGATCGCCATCCGACTGAGCACTTCTGAAGTCCACTCCGTACTGTCTCACATCGGAACAGGAGATCACAGAAAAGCCAGCACCGCTATAGCGACACAGACCGCAAAAACTATGCTGAAATTTAAACTGTTGCTAAAAAATAGTAAGAGAAGAATTTTAACTCCTGTTAACGTTTACACACCTGAGTGACACCATGTTTCCGAGCTCTGCTGGTAAACTGCGAATTTTATTAGAGGACAGGTCCAGATATACCAGATTGTGAAGCTTGGCAATGTCTGAAGGAATACGGGATAAGGAGTTGTCACTGAGATGCAAAGCTGTCAAATGGGTCAGTGTCCACAATGACGAACTTAAGCTTCTCACTTTCCCTGAGGAAGGAAGGTACAAAAGAAAACAGAACATTTAAAGTATATAGGTTTAGCAGTAATTGCATATTTTGTAAGTAAGGGGTGGGGGGGACAGACTTGAGGAGGAGTGTTATTTGGTTTTGTTGTGTTTATTATTATTATTTTATTCAGTGAGAATTTCATTAATCACTGATTCCATACATCAAAAGAATTCTGCAATGCGTAAGAGAATGTAATGTGTTGCCAGGTACACTTAGATTGGTTTTTTTTTTCCAATCTATACTTAAGGTTTAAATATCTTTCTCAAGTTCCATACCAAACAAGACAATTTACTAGCCAACCATGAATTCAATAATTAACAGAGGTGTAAGAAACAGATTTTTTTCAATTATGGTTTATGTTTGAGATGAAAGATGCTTCTTCAGTTCACCCCTTGTTTCTGTGCAACATCTTTCAACCCAAAAATCTTTATTCTATGGCATTAATCCAGCCAAGAACAGATAGAAGCACTATATTTAGGGTGACTAAGATGCTTAGTTGAGAACATGGATTTCCATCTGGCATTCAACTAAAAGCTGCATAAACTATTGCCAGATATTTTAAAAAACGGTATGATTTCTATATAAACTGAAGGGTGGAAACATGGATTTGTGTGACAGAATCAAGATTTTTGCATTGCTGCATGCAAGGAATGTGAGATATCATTAGAAGGTCTCAAAACATTTCTTCTCTCCAAGTTTCCCCCCACCCCCCAGGAGTGAATCCTTTTTCGTTTATAGAAGTCATCTCACTGTACCAAAAGCATGAGAAGAGTACCAACACCAGTTTGTCCAAGGCAAAAAGTTACTTGCAACTGCCTTTAAAAACCCCACCATGACTCACCAATATTAAGATGATCTGGTTAATATCATACCAACACACATATAATTCCTTTCCTTAAATTATTTTATTCAAAATAAAAGAAGCCTTATTTAGTGCCTGGGGAAAGCTACACTGATACACATGTATCTGGGACTCGGCCCCTGGTAACAAAAGGTTTAATACAGGTACCATTTCTAGTGAGCTATAAGAAAGCGAGTGGTGTAAAAAAGCCTGCAGTGAAAAAGCTCAGTGATTTAAATGAGAGCATTAAAACATCTGTGGCTTTCTTTATTAGATGATCAAGTATTTTGCAAGGTAAAGACAGTGTGAACATTAATAAAACAAAAACACAGTCACATTTTATTTTGCAAGGCAAATGCATACAGTTCTTAAAGGATTCATGCTACTGTCATGCTCATTAAGAAAGCTTTTGAAAGGTTTTTAATACAAATCAATAGTTCCTTGCATTTTTAAAATTGAATTAACACCTCTTCCCCCCGCAATGCAAACAGGTGACTGTGATCAAAGGAACCCTTGTAGCTGAAAGGATTTCCAATCAACGTCACAGATCCATCCTCTTCACTACCAGCTCCTCTCTTGGCTGGAATCAGTCTATAGCGAGATTACCAGGCATGAAAGGCAAGAGCCATCACTTAATGCATTTCCTGTGCAGAGGCAGCAGATGTCCAAGTGGATATCCAAGCCTAATGCTGATGTATAATGCTGACTCCTGAAGCAGCATTTAACTAGGTTTCTGCATCTGTAACCTTCAAGTAAAGAAAGCTATTCACATGTTAAGGCACGTGGCACTTGAAGCAAGACACAGATTCAATGATCTGGATGGAAAGACTCTGCACAATTCAAAGAACTCTATTTGTATTCCTCCTCCTATAAATTTTTCCACTGGACAGTCATTTAGAAACACCACACGGTAATTTTTGCAGTCTCTTAAAGAATCTCCATATTTAAGTAAAATTTCAGCCTAAATTTACAACATCACAAAATAATTTTTAAATTCTTAAAATACTTGCTTGAATTTCCTTGTAAACACACTTTATGTAGCACAATCAGAACTTACTCCTCAAATCAAGAGAGACTGGTGTCCCACACCAGCTGGAATTCATGTTTATGAATTCTGAGCACTATCTTATTTTCAAGAAAAGACACAGAAGTCACACTAGCTCAAAGCTAGCACAGTTCTTTGAGGATTTTTTTTTTTAGTCTCAAGAACAGAGCAAGGATTTACAACTGCTTTTAAACTGAAAACTTCTGCTTCAATAGAAACCATACTGTCATGGACTAATACAACATTGTTGTAACAGCACATGTCTATATATCACCCCCAACTTCACCTTCCCCTCTTTGACAAATGCGAACTTAAATCCATGCTCTCACACACCCCATCTTCTTAAAACACACAGAGCTCACGTCCGTATCCTCACCTTCCCAACTTTCCTACATGTTAGGATTCCCCACCTGCCTCAACTTACCTCTCCTACAGCTCCCTATGTTATCCCAAACCAACCTCTTCCCCTGACACACCCAGAGGCTGGCAGCTACTATGTTGGTGTGCTGGCTCACTCCAAGGCAGGTAACTCAGCCTCAGACCTCTCATCCAAGCCCGTACTACCTAAACTACTCTTAACTTGCAATGAGTTCATAACTCTGGACCATTCCTCAGTTTCTTACCACTTATTTCCAACTCTGCCCAGTGTGACTTCTTTCCATTGGCTGCTTCCTCTGAGGACATAATTGTGTACATCCTCCGTGGATCAGGTGGATCGTACTTTTCCTTGAGCATTCCTGTTGAGACAAAGAGACAAATAATTAATTAAGATCTTAAATACTAAGAAATCTTTAAAAGGCAATTTCTGTTTCAGTTAAACTTCGCACTGGATGTTTGCTCCAGATACTTTTCAAAACTTCAGATAAAGATAACCCATGCCCATTTACAAACTTCACTGAGTGGGAAAGACTGCTGTAAAATAGAACACAGATTCCTGATGCTCCTAGAATGGCAGACGACAGCCTAACCCCACACCCATTAATTTAACAGTATCTGTAAACCAACATAAACATTGTGTCCTGCCTCCTCTCTCACGAGTATGTCGACCCTTCCTTCAAAATCAATCCATCCTACTGCAGGCTCTTGGCTCTTCAACACTGAAACTTCAAAAAGTGATGATCACCACCACCAGATTCTCCCTCATACGAGGAAAACGTGCTAAAAACCTTGCCTATTTATCAGTTCCAGGTTTACTGCAAAGGTTTCTTAACTTTTCACACAATTCAGCATCCAAAAAAAAAAAAAGGTTTCAAAAAGATCCTCAGTTCTTCAAGTCTGCAAAACTACAGCTTTTAATCCAACCCTTATACTGCTCTTTTCAATCTGAAAATACTGTACCCAAGGTGGACATTTCTATCACTTTCTTCAGCCACGTGTTTAACACAAGTTTAAGTCCATTTCTCTCACTCTCTCTCACATTCCTCTTAAGTCATTAAAAAAATGTTTCTTGTAAAGTTATCTCTTTTTACCATACCCAATCACGAACTGTGAGAGAAAAGTGGCAAAAATTCCACTCCAAAAAACCTCCTTCTAGCTTTCCTGTACATCAACATACTTGTACTGCTTCATTGCAAACGGGGGCAGGGGCAAGGTCATTCCTGGCTC